ATGACAAAAACAGCCCCAGCAACGGTAACAAAAATAGCCGTTGGAAACAGAACTGACAGAGCGGCGGTCGATGACAGAGCGGCGGTCGACCGAAAATATTCGTGGTCGACCGCGAACCAGATCTGAAACTGAGAATACAAGCAGAACTTCGTCGGTCGACCGGTGCGATCGACCGATGGAAATTTTGAGCTCTTGGTCGACCGGTGCGGTCGACCGACAAATTCTCTGCTACCCACTGATGAATGATCACATGAGCGGTCGACCGGTGCGGTCGACCGAAATCTGATACTACAGAAAAACAGGTTTTAAAGCTGATTTTTGAGACTTTGGAAAATTGTTAAAAAATAACAAATGAAGTCCAAAAATAATAAAACTTTGGGAAATGTATATAAACATGTAAATGAACATGTTACAAAAAGAATTTTCCAAATTGCATTTCTCATTTGTGAAAAATCATCATTTTGTAAAAATAGTCCAAAACACGAAAAAGTAAACATGTGAATTTTGACATTTTGGCTAAACCATGTTTTGAAACTTTGCACAATGGTTATATAGACTTAATAAAATATGGATATGATTATTGTTAAGTCCAAAAACTAAGAAAATAATATTTTTACAAAATTTCATATTCTATAAACATTTCAAAAGTAAATAGTAAATATAAAATATATGATTTCATATTTATAAATATGAAAACTCAAAAACTATGTATGTATATATATATCTATATATATGCATAGAAACTAAAACTTATGTATATCTATATATATCTATATATATATATATATATACGAAGAAACCAATAAATGTGTGTGTATAGATATTGAGCTTAACGTACTTAACACACATAATATAAAACCTATACTAAGTTACCCAAGCTAGATCTTGATCTTCAATAAGCTCAACTTGGTACACATGTGGATGAAGCTGAACTTGGATCTTGAACTAGAATTGCATAAGCTTTACCGACATTCCGCCAACCTCCTTTGGATATGATCATTGAAGCTCTATTCCATCCATCCTCCAACTACGTTGTTTGTCTATAATAAATAAGAAAACACAAATACTAGACAAACAACATTAGTGGTAAATTGTTTAATAAACATCATCAAAATAAGAAGGCTAACAATCTATAGATTGATAAACACATATTGAATAATGTTGTCTTATACGTATCCGAAAATAGGGAAATGAAACATATTTGCCGTAGAACGATTGAGTAAGAGTATTACAAAAGTATTAATATTACATGCATCCGGAATAGGGAGATAATAAATCCTATTGCCGCAGAGCGATTGAGTAAGAGCATTACAAAAGTATCGCTATAGCACAAGATGATGCACACATAGATATTTGATCAGTTATGTTTTGTACTTCCATGATAGACTACCCGTGAGTAGGGTATTTATGTTGAGATTTTTCGCACACCCGTTATGAGCGACAGATATATTTCGCTTTGTTTTAGTTGACATCCTCTTATATTAGAGCAGGCTACTCGGATGTACTTCGAGATGAGATACTTATTCCTTATGTTGGAGATTGGAGTACTTTTCCGTGACTATTGTTTTTCCTTCATGAAGAATTTTATGAATGATTTGATATATGAATATAATGACTCTATTTTTTCTATATACTCCCTCGCTAGCGCTTTGACGCTCGTTGTTTCCCCTCTTTCAGGCAGCGAGTCCGGCGCACGGAGAGTCGTAGGTTGATGAGACATCTTAGTTGTCCGTTTAGCTATTTATTATATTTTGTAGTCATTTCAGAACTCCACATGTAGTTGGTTATTTTTTAGACTCCAGATTAGTATTTTATTTTATAGAGTTGAGAACTATTGTAAGACTTTGTTTTTTTGACTCATTGTATTTGAGACTCAGTTTAGACTCAGAGATATATCTATTTTATTCCAGTTGGGCTCATTATTGATATTCTTATGCTTCTTCTGTGTTCATCCAGTGTTGTTATATTTCTATTTTGTTTGCCTGTCTGTACCTTCACCTATTTATTATTTCCACTAGAGAGATAATGATTGTGATGGTGAAACATGTCGTAGCATGGTGTTTGGTTCTTGGCAGGTTTGATAATCCGGGTTTCACCTGGGACTGTAGCCTTGTGTGAACCATGGGGCGTCACACTCTCTTCCTCTCTCATTCTCTCTCTCCTGTTCATCTCTCTTCTCCCCCTCAATGCAACAGCCCAAGCCCCAGCTCCCTGAACCCGCGCCTCA